CTACCGTTGCTTCACCGTAATATACATAGAAGAAAAACGTATGACTGACAATATACAAACATGTTTCAAATGCAAACGAACTTGTTAGTTGAGAGTATATTGGATATATTCAATTTAAATGAGCTCAATTTAAATGTGATCCCATCTATGAAATGCACACGGCTGCACTCGTTCTCCTTCCATTTCCCATCGGCGTTCGCCACAACTGACTTTTCGAAAGTTCTATTCCGCATATCAGATACGACAACATCACTTTTACTATGATTTTCCTTGCTGACGCAACCTTCTGAGTTTGAGGTCTGCCCTCAAAGCTATCATGGGCTTATGGCCTCCGAATGGCTTGGCTATAAACGGATGCACTTGACAGTCTTACAGTTAGCAAAAAGTTATCAACTTCCTTTGTTTTCATAACGCGATAGATCATGTTCAGTTATAGTATTGATAATATTGGAGGTGTAGTTTATACGTATGAAATTATGGTACATTTTAGAAGGTATTGGGGAAATTAAAAATGAATGATGAGGACGAGAAAAATGAATATATCCAATCGTGGTCAACATTATTGACGTTTGTGGTTGAATGGATGAATTACGGATACAGTCGAGAGATGGAGAAAATTCGACGAGAATCTGTTGCTGTGAAGCAGTAAATGTAAATATTGTTTGACCGTCCGTTTAATGTTTGCTCGTTGATGATTTTCCACGTGTATCCTCAAAATCACTGTTTTTACTTGATTGTTTTCAGCATATTTTATTTTTTGTTCGTATGTTCGTATTTTCAGCATTTGTTCGTATTTCGGTAGGACATCTTTTAACGTTTCATCAATGTCTTCAACTTTCATCAATTGTAACTTCAATTTCATCAATGACAACTTCAACTTTCAACTTTCAATCACATATCTAACTCCAAATCAGCATTCAAACCTCTTCATTAGACCAAAGATTGGTATGCAAAATGCGTATTGTTCATACGGTTGTTCAGTCTTGAGAGTTGATTTGACAGTGTGAATCGTAATGCTTCATCTATACTCTTACCGCCTGTCACCTCATGAGACATTAAAAAAAAGTTCAACAAAATTGTGACTGATTAAAAAACAACTCAAATTAATAGCAAAAGATGCGGTTTCCTTGACGACAGTCACACTTAAGTGCAAGATGAATTAAACATTTGTGCGGCTTGCACGTTCACATTGTAATTGGCAAAAAGAATTATTTTATACGAACGAAGCGTGCATCCTTTATGAATTGTTTTCTTAATACTTGCTCAGAATCGACCCAAAAATATATTCGGATCGTTTGTTTTCTTTCTCGAGCAATTCAATTACTCAGTATGGTATTTCTGCTAAAAACACGACAGCAAAATACAAGACAGTGATTTGAGGAGATGCTGTGTGACAACAAACGATACACGTTAATTTATCACATCCAAACGACTTTAAAAACGTATAACATTATAATTAACAAATATATCGAACCAAGGTAGATAGATGGACATCAATTGTGCAATGCGTTCGTTATTTCTCCGCATTCAACCAATCGTTCATGCACACATGTCTGTCATCCAACTCTCATCAAATGCTCTCTTGATGGGACAAGAAGCTTCGTATGAAAGCTGCTGACAGTCTCATAAACAGCGCATCAGTGCGCTCTCCACTGAATCACGGCTATTGAATATCACCAATGAGTGTTTAGAAATAACCTGAGAATTACGCAAAATCTGTGAGAGAGATAACTTAAAATGCCTACACTTCAAGCCACCTTATTGAATATAACAATGCACAATTCGCAAAAACAATGTGCAACAATCAGACTCAATTTTTCAGCAATTCGCTGAATATTCATCAATTTTTTCAAATAAAATTGATGTTGAAACTAACTCAACATTCAAAAGTGAATAAAATCGAATAAATAAAACAATATTGTGAAAGAAAAAACATTTGATCGAAAAGAAAACAAAGAGTACTGCTCAAAAAAACGAGATGATTGCAGTGAAATGAGTTTTTCATAAAAAATGAATGAAAACATTCAACGGGGAAAGATTTTAAAACATTTAAAAAAGACACACTGTTGCATTTGGTGCACATTTTCGGTTGAGAAATTGGCAGACCGATCGGGATTAAGGTGCTCAACGTAAAACGATTTACCTAACAAAACGGTAACCAAACAGATAAAACCATTCAATTAACAGATAAATTCAATCATCAATAATCACCATCAAAGAATATCGCGATAGTTGATGTCAAACGTTTATTAAGCACCTCGCTGGCTAAATCGAACTGGAATTAACATTTCGGTTCATTGGCAAAGTTGGAACATCAATCAGAAATTATCGTCTTATGCAAATGATACATTCAGTGACATCAACAATACTTATGTGGCCATTTCGAGTGTCCAATTCAACCGCTTAATAAAAGTAAGGTGGCAATCGAAAAATAATCACCGAATCTCAGTCATTTCCCAACCAATGGCTAGAGGGAAGCGTGTATTAATCTTCACAAAAACAGAACCAATGTGGCTTTAACATGTTCTTATACACATGATTAAATAAACATGTAATATTTATATACATTAACAAACATTTAACACCTAAAAGATTGAGCGAATTTGTTACAGCACAATAGCACAACAATACATTCATTATCTCATCAAACTCCACTCACATTACGTTTCGGATGGATAAGGATTTATATTTTGCAGTGAAAAACAACCGAAACTGATCCGTATTAATGAAACAGACAAACAGGCATTTATTTCATTCGGGTAAAATTGAATGGGTTTTGAACGAACTCGGTGCCATTTATTGAACCTATTTGGAATAGAACGCAAAAAGCAAAAAATTGCTCGAATGTGAGAGCATGAGCGTTCCGCATAAGATGCTGCTTGAGTGACGCGAAAAGAGAATGAGAAGATGAATTTTGACAATTATTCGATTCAAACGGGTGATACGATCTGAACACAGCGGTAATAATAACAATAATAATGGTAATAATCATCAGTTATTTGATCAGTTCCCACTGCCCATTCACTTGAATGTTTGTATGTTGATTGTGTTTGTGTGTCATCAGCTGACTTGTTTCGCTGGTGCAATTCGTTTACGAGGCAGGCAGCGAGCCGAATTGGACAATTTTATAACAGAGCGGAACCATATGCCCCACACTACCAATTCGACAATCCCGGCTTATTCAAAGTCATAAAGTAGATTTGACACGAGCCGCCTCCTTTCGCGCTCGAGAAGAACACCTTAAAACGAATCACCTTCAACACTTCTTCACTCGATCAATTGAAATGCTTCAATTTCAGTTTCATTATGCGTTCAAAGTGAATATAAATGAATGTGTATGTTCATTACAGTTCAAATTACGTTTGATCGATTCTTTGCTCTCAAAATCAAAAATATGATGAGTAAGGAACTGAAAACATATTGGATACTATGCAATTATATCAGCAGAATATACCTTGTCATTACGTTCGCAAAGAAATTTCAATTTCTGCGCTTTCTTGTGCATGAACACTCCATCCAAATGACCAGTTTCAACGGATCGTATTTCAATAGCTTTATTACCCCAACCCATTATTTGACCCGTCGAAATGTAAGCTGAAAGTTTAAAAGTTGATTGAAGCCAAAAAGAATGCGATTTCTTATCGGTTCAGCTGATTTAAAGATGTATTACTGACGAAAAACGTGAGCGATAACAACGACAGTGACGAGGAAAATGGATGAACTTTAAAAACGTACCAACAGAAGACGGGGTCTCTCCCCACTGCAAGAACACATTTTTGGTAGCTTTTCCGTAGGTAGTCACATAGACTCCCTCATTATTATAGCATAGCAATAACTGCATTCCATTCGTGTTCGGTAAAATGACGATACAATGCGGCGAAACGGCTGTTTCAGTCTGTAATCGCATCACAACTACTTCCATTATGAGAATGATCATCGCAAATTTGATAATTTTCATTCGATATGCCAGGGAATGCTTCACTTTTTATTGTTCACAAACAAATATCAATGACGCACTAATGGAGTTAACAGCAACGATAATATATACACTCACATTTGGCGGTGTATAAATATCATCTATGGAACCGGAATCAAGATCGATTGCATGAAATCCCTCTCGAGATCCATAAAGCACTTTCAGTCGTGCATTCTCCTCCACTGTTAAATCGACTATCAGTGGCAAATGTGCAAGCTGACTGAATGCCTATAAGCATGCTTTGAAGATTTCATGTTGCTGTTGGTGTACTGAATCACTTTGAATTCTCTTTTGGTGCACTCAGTAACGTATCCTAGGAACGAATCAGTTCAACGTACACCTATATGAATAATCATGATCAACGATCAAGTATTTTTTAGAACGAAGACTTGTTCACTTGAAGTAATAAATTGCATCTATAACCTTATAACGAGTAAGTTGATTAAATCTTTAGATGATTAACGGCAAAGATAATAAAAACGGTACAATGAATGTCTCGACGATTGAATCGGCTGGCGATAATTCGCAGCAGCAAAATTGGATAATAATTTGAATGAGCACAATTATTGAAAACAGAGTCATTACTCATACACATAGTAATTTCGTTTGCGACGCAAATGGTCAATTANGAAAAAGCCGCAATCAGATAGGCAAAATCGTAGAAGCAAACAAACATTCTGCCACTAACCTCAACACCACTCACACCTTCGGTTCGGAGTATTTTTTGTTTGAGCCATGAAAGGTAATAGACCCGTATCCTCCGTTTACGGCCACTAATTGTCACTAAGATATTCTGTCCTTCCAGCACACTTATTTGTTCGAAACGTCGACGCGTTATCAACTGATATACTGAAATATTTGAAGTCTACTGTATTCGACTGATGAAAATGGGCCGAATGTGGACGAGAAAAATGACTGTGGTCAGGTTGGAGAAAATGGTGTTCTGTTGTATTAATCAGTTGTTTTGACGTATGTTAACAACTGAATAAGTGAATTGTTAATGGTCTTCAAGGTTTTCTTACAAGGCCAGTAATCTTCAACAATTACGCTGGGTATTACGTAATATTCGATGCAATAAAGCAGGTTTGAATGACTCCAAATTCCTTGCTGAAAAATAAGACACCTTTCGAATACAATCCTTGAATGTGACCGATTTCTGTTTTACTAATCAGAAATGACGATTAAACAATTTTCGATGGCTGAAAATTGCGTGCAGTG